GTTTCCCCAGTGTTTTCCAAGGAGCAGTTTTATAGTGTGAGGTCTTAGGTAGATCTTTGATCCACCTTGAGTTGATTTTTGTCAATGTTGAGTGGTAGAGGTTCAGATTCATCTTTCTGTAGGTGGATATCTAGTTTTTCCAGCACCATTTGCTGAAGAGGTTTTTCTTTCCCACTGCATTGACTGGTACCCTTTGTCAAAAATCAGTTGACTGGGGAACCAGCAGTTAGCATAATGGCTATGTCGCTGTGGAGGAGAAGGGATTGCAGCGTGACCATCCCCCCTGGGGGGTGATTTCTCGCTTTCTGTCTCTATGTCTCTCTCTGTCTGGCGAGCGCACGCGCCCTACAGTGAAAATCTCTCAAAAAAAAAAAATCAGTTGACTGTATGTCTGGAAATTTATGTCCGGGGACTCTCTTCTGTTCCATTGGTCCACCTGTCGGTTTCTGTGCCAGTGCCATGCTATTTTGATTACCACAGCTTTATAGTATAATTTTTGGGTCTGCAAGTGAGAGGCTGTCCACTCCACTCTTCTTGTGCAGGATTGCTTCAGCAACACGAGGTCTTTTATGACTCCAGACAAATTTTATGATTGTCTTTTTTTTTTTTAAGAGGTTTTTCCTATAGGGCACATACACTCACCAGAAAGACAGAGAGAGACAGAGAGAAATCACCCCCCAGGGGGATGACTATGCCACAATCCCTTCTCCTCTATTCTCCTCTTAGGATTGTGCACACACACACACACACACATGCCCAGCTTAAGTTTAAGCCACTGGGTCGAGGACTCGAACCGCGGTTGATTACATGGGAGTCCAGCGACATAGCCATTATGCCAATTGCTGGTCCCAATGATTGTCTTTTCTAGATCTGCAAAGAATGTGTCTGGTACTTTGTTTGGGTTGCATTAAATATGTAGGCTAATTTGAGTAGAATTGCCATTTTGATTATATTAATTCTTCTAATCCAGGAACATGGAGTGTCCTTCCACTTTTTCATGTCATTTTCAATTTCTTTTTTTAGCTTCTCATAGTTTTCCTTGTGGAGGTCATTAACTTCTCTGGTTAGATTTATTCCTAGGTATCTTATACTTTTTGTGGCTGTGGTAAATGGAATTACTTTTTTCAGTTCTATCTCAGTCCGCCTGTTGATCATGTATAGAAATGCTATAGATTTCTGTATGTTAATTTTGTATCCTGCAACTTTACCGTATTCATGTATTACTTCCAGGAATTTTTTTCATGGATACCATTGGGTCTTCTATGCATACCATCATGTCATCTCCAAATAGAGTTTCACCTCTTCTTTTCCTATTTGAATGCCTTTTATTTTATTCTCTTTTCTAATTGCATTGGTGGGGACTTCCAGTACTATATTGAAAAAGGTATGTAGAAAGTGGGCATCCTTGTCTTGTACCAGTTTTTAGTGGAAAAGCTTTCAGGTTTTGTCCACTCAGGATGATGTTCACTATGGGTTTTTCATAGATAGCTTTTATCGTGTTGAGAAATGATCCTTCTATGCCAATATTGCTGAGTCTTGGTCATGAAGAGCTATTGTATCTTATCAAATGTTTTTCTGCATCAGTTGATATGATCATATGGTTTTTATCTTTCTTTCTGTTAATATGGTGTATTACATTTATGGTTTTGCCTATGTTGAACCAACCTTGCACTCCTGAAATAAAGCTTATCTGGTCGTGATGTATAATCTTTTTTATAAGTAGGATACGATTTGCTAATATATTGTTCAGAATCTTTGCGTCTATATTCATCAGAGATATTGGTCTACAGTTTTCCTTCCTCAACCTGTCCTTATCTGTTTTAAGGATAAGGGTGATGGGGGCTTCATAGAATGAATTAGGGAGAGATTCACCCTTTTGAATCTTTAGAAATAACTTGAGCAGAATGGGGTTAACTCTTTGAAAGTTTTGTAGAATTAAGAGGTGCAGCCATCAGGGCCAGGGCTTTTCTTTTTTGGGAGGTTATTTATTACTGACTCAATCTTCTGGTTTGTTCTGGGCCTATTCAGACTTTCTATATCCTCCTGGCTCAATCTTGGTAAATTATATATGTCCAAGAATTTGTCCATCTCATCCAGATTTTCTTGTTTCTTGGAATATAGTTGTTCATAGTATCCTCTAATGATGTTTTGTATTTATCTTATGTCTTTTGTTATATTGTCTGCTTCATTGAAGATTTGATTAATCTGGTTCCTTTCTCTCTCTCTCTCTCTTTTTTTTTTTCTGTTTTTCCTATAGGGTGTTTACGCTCACCAGAAAAACAGAGAGAGACAGATATAAAGTGAGAATATCCCTCGGGAGGATGGCCACGGCGCAATCCCTTCTCCTCCGTCCTCCCCTCTAGATCTTGGGCACACCCA